CCACCCGGGCCCAGCGAGCCGGCGAGGCGGGGGCGGGCCCACGATCTCCCACAGACCTCCCATTCTCTAGACCCGAGCGGGAGCCCGGGCGCCGGGGATCCGGCTGGGCCGGTACCCATGGCGAGCGCGGCCTGCCCGGGCCCCGGAGACCCTGCCATGTGAAGCAGGCCGGGGCTGGGGGCCCGGCCATGGCCGGGGAACGGCCCCCGCTGCGGGGCCCTGGGCCCGGGCCCGGGGAGGCGCCGGGAGAGGGGCCCCCTGGGCCGGGGGGCGCAGGCGGAGGCCCGGGCCGGGGCCGCCCCTCCTCCTACCGGGCTCTCCGCAGCGCCGTGTCCAGCCTGGCGCGTGTGGACGATTTCCACTGCGCGGAGAAGATTGGGGCCGGCTTCTTCTCTGAGGTCTACAAGGTAAGAGCGGCGGAGAGGGCAGAGGGGCGGGACCAAGAATTAGACGCGAGGTTGGAACTAGGGGTCTCGGACTCGGGAACCGCTGCACTTGCCACCTCCAGGTTCGGCACCGACAGTCAGGGCAAGTCATGGTGCTGAAAATGAACAGGCTCCCCAGTAACCGGGGAAACACGCTACGGGAGGTGCAGCTGATGAACAGGCTCCGGCACCCCAACATCCTAAGGTGAGCGGCCTTAAGGGTGCTGGGGGGAAGGGGAAAGATCCCGCGGGAAAAGTGAGGATGTGCAGCGGTGGGAGCTTTTACAGCCTACTCTACTTTACCCATCCTTTTCCAGGTTCATGGGGGTGTGTGTGCACCAGGGGCAGCTGCACGCTCTTACAGAGGTGAGGCTGCGCCCCGAAAGGGAACCCCCTGCTCCCTTCGCCACCCACAAGGCAGGGAGAGTCAGGGACCAGCTGTATGTACAGAGGAGTCGTGACAGGCATCGGGTCCTGGGAAGCATCCCTGACCTTCCCTTTGGACAAACCACAAATAAGACTTCAGCTGCTCCCATCTCCTAATCCTCCAGGACCCCTAATCCCCTAGAAAGGTGGAATCCAATAGAACTTTCTGCGATAGTGAAAATGTTCTGTATCTGTGCTGTCTCAAACCGCAGCCACTAGCCACATGTGGCTAGGGAGCACTGGGACTATAGCTGTGTGACTGAGAAAAGGGATGTTTAGTTTTATGTGAACGTAATCATTTCAGCAGTCACACGTGACTGGGACAAGGCAGCCCTAGAACATGAATGAGAGACCCTACAGCATGGACTCACCCTTCTGATTCTCCTGAGTTCCCCTGGCTTATAAATGTGAGTTTTAGAGTACTGACTGGAACCTTCTTTTCATATCCCTTCTCCTCTCTCTATGCACCAGTATATGAATGGGGGGACCCTGGAACAGTTGCTCAGCTCCCCTGAACCCCTGTCCTGGACCGTAAGGCTCCACCTGGCTCTGGATATTGCCCGGGGCCTGCGGTACCTGCATGCCAAAGGTGTGTTCCACCGAGACCTCACATCCAAGGTAGGCTGGGCAGGTGGGTGCAAGCATGAAAGCAGGGTTGAGATATCAAAATGTACCTAGCCTGTGGATGTTGGAATGTGGGGACTAAGTTTGTGAGGATGATGGAATAGCAAGGGAGAGGAGAACGGGGTACTCAGGAAAGGGGCGTGTTCTGAGGGGAGTGTTTGGAGTGATAGATGTTGCTAGACTAGGGTGCCTGGAGAACTGAGAAACCATAGAGGTTTGGGGTTATTCTGGAGTGACAGGGTTTCAGGGTTTATACTGGGAGAGGAGAGAGCCGGAGATAATGGGTGTGTGGATGCTGTGTGTATCAGAACTGTCTGATCCGACGGGAAGACCGAGGCTTCACAGCTGTCGTGGGTGACTTCGGGCTGGCTGAAAAGATTCCTGTATATAGGTGAGGTAAACCCTCTGTCCCCAAACTTACCATAAGGTCCCTACCTAAGTGAAGCCCCCAGGAACATTTCTGGGGCAAGGGGTGGGGGAGTAGGTAGGGGAGGCTCACCTCATCCTTTTCTGTTTGGATGTTTCTGACCACTCTGCTCTACCATGACAGGGAAGGGGCAAGGAAGGAGCCATTGGCTGTGGTGGGTTCCCCTTACTGGATGGCCCCAGAGGTGTTGCGGGGTGAGCTATATGATGAGAAGGTAAGACATCAGCCTTTCAGATCCCCAAGGCCTTCCAGAGACCCCCTCAGATACTCTTAATAAGGCCTCATCCCTGTCTTCAACAACTCTACAAGATAATCAGAAGACCCCCAAGGTCCCTATTGTCCTTCACAGGTACCCCTCCAACACATGAAAACCATTAGGACTCCTCTCCAAATTCTGGCATATTCTGACAAAAACCTGACATGAAAACTATCACTTTCTCCTCTGACATTATCTCCTACCCCCAGGCTGATGTCTTTGCCTTTGGTATTGTACTCTGTGAGCTCATTGCGCGAGTACCTGCAGATCCTGACTACCTGCCCCGTACTGAGGTGAGTGAGGTCTATAGGTCTGAAAAGGAGGAAGATCAGCGCTGAGGTTGAGGTTGACTGAGGAGAAGGAGAACCCATAGAAGGCTGACTTGGAGGCCCGCCCTCTGTCCCCATAGGATTTTGGCCTGGATGTGTCTGCTTTCCGGACCCTGGTCGGGGATGACTGTCCACTGCCTTTCCTGCTCCTGGCCATCCACTGCTGCAGTGTAAGAGCTCCCTCTCCCTCCCACCCTCCGCCTTGTCCATCAGCTGACAGGCTGTCCTTTGGGTTCCAGATGATGGGAGAAAACTCATGGGTCCTCTTTTAAACCCCTCAGTGAAGTTGCCCCTATCTTCACCCATCAGATGGAACCTAGCACTCGTGCCCCCTTCACTGAAATCACCCAGCACCTGGAATGGATCCTGGAGCAGCTGCCTGAGCCAGCCCCTTTCCCCAGGGCTCCCCTGACACACAGTCAGGGTAAGTGAGCATGACCTTCACGCAACTTAAGGCCCTTTTGCCTTTCTCCTCAGAATCCAGAGAATTATTTGGGGCAGACAAAATGTACTTGTTAGATGAGAAGGCTGGGGATGAGGTGAGGTTGGAGGACATCTCAAAGAATGTAATTTTCCAATCTAGAGCCTGAAGAAAGGGAATAAGGAAAGAAGAAATAAAAGGGGACTGGAGGTGATATCTTTCCCTTTCCAAGGCACCCTATGAATGAGACCCCAAGCAGCTCTGGTCACTGCTGAGAATAGTGACCACAGACTTCTCTACCGACAGGGTCTGTTCCAAAAGAGGGTTCCTCTGCCACGCTTCCCAGGCCAGACCCCCGGCTCTCCCGAAGCCGGTCAGATCTCTTCCTGCCCCCATCACCAGAATCACCGCCCAACTGGGGGGACAGTCTGACTCGAGTCAACCCCTTCTCTCTACGGGAAGACCTCCGGGGTGGCAAGATCAAGCTCCTGGACACACCCAGCAAGCCAGTCGCCCCCTTGCCCCTTGTACCATCACCGCTGCCCTCTACCCAGCTGCCCTTGGTGACCACTCCAGAGACCTTTGTCCAGCCCGGGACACCTGCCCGCCGCTGCCGCTCGCTACCATCATCCCCTGAGCTTCCCCGACGGATGGAGACAGCACTGCCAGGGCCTGGCCCTCCTGCTGTGGGCCCTTCTGCTGAAGAGAGAATGGAGTGTGAGGGCAGTAGCCCTGAAACAGAACCCCCAGGACCAGCTCCCCAGCTGCCCCTAGCTGTGGCCACAGACAATTACATCAGCACTTGTTCCTCAGCCTCCCAGGCCTGGTCCCCTAGACCAGGACCTCCCCTTAACAACAACCCCCCAGCTGTGGTGGTAAACTCCCCACAAGGCTGGGTTGGGGAGCCCTGGAACCGGGCCCAGCATAGCCTGCCCCGGGCAGCAGCCCTGGAGCGGACAGAACCCTCACCGCCCCCTTCAGCTCCCCGCGAGTCCGATGAGGGGCTGCCCTGTCCAGGCTGCTGCCTCGGCCCCTTCAGCTTTGGCTTCCTATCCATGTGCCCCCGCCCCACACCAGCTGTTGCCCGCTACCGCAACCTGAACTGTGAGGCAGGCAGTCTCCTCTGCCACCGAGGACACCATGCCAAGCCACCCACACCCAGCCTGCAGCTGCCAGGGGCACGCTCTTAGCAGTGGGGCCTGTGGCCTCGGGCCTTCTCCTTAGGCCTTCAGGATGCCTTGAGGACAGAGCGTACACGTTGGACAGTGCCAGCCCTGGAAGGGCTGACTGGCTCTTCTCCCCATGTAGGGGACCTCAGCATGGACTCAAGGGACAAGGGACAGAGCATTTCCTCTCCAAACCCTGGGTTTGGTCTCCCATGGGGATCACTGAACCAGACACAGCATTGCTGACACAGGAGACTAACACGTGCAAGTTATTTAAAAATATTTCAATAAAACTGCCTGGCTGGCTCCGGGCTGCCCCATCCGCTTAGCCCATGCGCCCTCCACCCCAACTCCCTGCATTCCACTTTGGGAAGTTCTTCCAGAGGCCAAAACATCTAGAGGCTTCTTCACCACTTTTCCAGGAACAGTCCAATTTCTGAGACAGAATTTCAAGCAGGCAGTAGGCTGGCCAGAAGTGTTGGGCATGGATAAGCCTTTGGCCAGCACTGTCCAGGCAGAATAAGGTGACCTTAGGAGCTATAGGCTGCAGCTGAGAGATGCAGGACACAGGCACTTGTCGGCGTGAGTACCTGAAATTCAGTTAAGGACACAGGCACTTGTCGGCGTGAGTACCTGAAATTCAGTTAAGTATATAGTTGACTGTCACTGAGAACCCTCATCTAGCTTACCCACCTCCTCTCCCGCTCCCTGGACAGCCATACCACTGCCACCCTTCAGTTCCAGGCCTTCCCTGCCCAATTTTCCCTAAAGGGGCAGACCAATCCCTGGATATTGTAGTCATGACTGTCACTCTTAGGAACAAGTTTTCTTCTGACCTCTGACCCTGCTTTCAGCCCCTCCCCCTAATACCCTTCCCTCCATGCCTCAGTCCCATCCCTCATACTTACCAGCTCAGTGCAAAGAGCCATCCCTATCTGGAGAACTGAAAGTTGCCATCTGACAAATGCAGGGCAGTAGAGAACTTCCTCGCTCTTCCTGAATTTTTTTTTGCGAAAGGTTAAATACTATTTTGGCATAGTTTCTTAAATATCTAAAGAGTAATGAAACAGAACTGAGGTAAGTTTTGTCACCATCCCCATCCCACCTCTCTCTCTTGTCTGCATAAGGCCTAATTGAAGTCTCACCTAACTCCCCTGCCTGTCTAAAGCCATGTTTGGACATGGTTCAGACACACGTTTGGACTCCAACCTGAAAAGGCCTTGGGTCCAGGGGGAGGAAGAGTCTAAAATCTTTTTGTTTTTTAAAGATTTATTATGCATACAAGAACAGGGTACAGGCCAGAAGTGTGGGGGTGAAAGGATTCACCAGAGAAGAGTGGGGAGCAGAACAGGCAGATTGACTGAAACACACTGCTAAGGGGAGCAGTGGGGAAACGAGAGGTCTGCTTGCGCCATATGAGTCAGCTCCCTGGTTGGGGGTTGAACTCATGCTGCAGTAGCTGTGGAGGGTACCGCAGTGCTACACTCTAACCCATTGCATCACCAAGGTGAGCCCAAAAAGTCTAAAGTCTTAAAAATTGAACCTCTAGTGGAACAAATATAAGAGTGACTACCCTGTTTGAAAGTCCCTGGGTTAGTTCTCAAAGTTATCCCACTTCTGCCTTATTTCCCTGGAGAAGCTTGAGTGCCCTACACAGCCTTGACAGAGAAAGTACCCCCCTCAGTTTGAGTAGCCTGGGTAAGGGATCAGAGTTTAGAAAACTAAGGCTCTTCATCAGCTGTGAAATCCAGCTAAATTCTCAGCTTTTCCCTCTAAGAAAGGTGACATAGGTCTTAACTTAGTGAAATTTATAAAAGTTGCTAAGAACTTTGGGGGCTAGGAGAGTTATTAATCAAATAGACCTGGACAGATAGGCAATATTAGGTATTTATGAAGAGATTATGGAGTCAAAAATGCAAATAAATAAATAAACCGTAACAAACTTACCCATATCTTGGAAAACTATACCAGTCCTGGTTCACAATATATTTCAAGCCAGTCCAATATGAATCATAATAATATCTATGTCCTGTAAACAGCTTATTTAAGATTTCAGAATAATCCTGAAGGGAAATTCAGAGACCAGACATGTGAGGAGAGTGATGAGAAATAACAGAATAGGTATGAAATGGGCCTGTGCTGATGAAATGGGAATGACACTGGGGAAGCCTGTGAGCTTTGACAAGACTGGGTTGTCTTGTGCATGCTGTCAGCTCATCACTGACCTACCCCTGCCAGCTTCAAGGGCCACCCTGAGATGCTCCCCCTTCAGCTCTCATCCCCAGTGGGTGAGAATTCCTGCCAGCCTTTGAAGGGGCGGTCATCGGGCTGTTCTGGTCATAAAAGCCAATCCTACAATCCTTCCCACCAGGTCCCTCAGGTGGGCCCTCGCCACCTGAGAAGCCATGCTAGTACAAGAACTTGTTAAGCAGCCCAGAGAGTTGACCAGAAAACAGATAAGAAACAGGTTAATCATGCCAACACTAATCAGTTAGCAGGAGCCTCCTGGTGCATGGCACTGAGAAGCTGCATGGAAAAGGCAGGCATGCGTGCACTGCCATTCCTGTCTCGGTGGCATATGCCCTTATACCTAATAGTACCCACTGCATTCTCTGAATAAGGGTCTACTTACTGAATAACTTCTGTCACTGAGTGAGGCCAGCTCAGATGACAAAGATGTACAATATTCTTTGCTATCACTCCAATTTCTCCGATAATGTGAGATGTGAAAGCAATAATTCTCAGTCTGTGTCCATCCCACAGGACAGCAAATGTCTGAAAAAGAGGAGTGATAAGAGTTATCACTAAGGGCAAATCAATCACTGCAGCGTCCAAGCTGAGACCCCAGCTAAGGTTGAGACCAGAGTTTCAATGGCACAATTTGTCACTGGGTGCAGCCATGGGCAAGGTGGATGGGTGAGTTCATCCAGAGTTGAGCTATTGCCGGTCAGAAGCACCAACACAGAAGAAAACAGTAGTGAGTGGCTGAAGGGATGGCCCCAGGGAATTCAAGATGGGAGGAGAGAGGTGAAGCCAGGTGCCAGCTGCTGGGAAGAGGAAGACGGGGAGTCAGTGGGTTGGCAGCATCACTGAGGTTGAAAAGCATGGGGAAAGGCTGGAGGGTGGACAGCGTAGTCAGAGTGGAGAGCCAAACCCAGCTTTTCAGCAAAGAGCTTGGGTGCAGCTGTGGCAGTGGGTGTCAGCACGGCATGGAACCAAGGGACGCAGAGAATAGGAAGGTTAAAGGAATGAAGAGGCTGGGGCGTGTGCACATGGTCTCTGTCCAGGCCTTGAAGGGGTTTCCAGGTGCGCCCTGTGGAGACTGAGTCTAACCTCCACATCGACAACCAGTCCATGAACATCCTAGTCGCCTAGGGCCTGGCACCCTGCCTCAAACCTCAGCCTGCTCTGGCACAGCCTGAGCATGTGGTTCCTCCCTCATCCCCACACACTGAGCTGTGCTGTCTTTCAAAATGGGTGAATGCCCCACCCCGGTGCCCTACGCCACAATCCCCCCACCTGCCTCATTGTAAGAGCCACCCCACATAAGGCCTTCAGTCTCCTCATCCCATCACCAGACAGCATCTCCCAGTCAGTAATTCTTAACTTTGGGGGGAATCTCAGTTCAGTTGTACTGAAAATTAGAACCTCTCTTTGGGGAAAAAAAAAAATGTGCAAACATCCAATTTTACATCCAAGTTCACTGGGTTCCCAGATCCTTGACACTGATGTCAAGCCTGATGAGACCTAGGTTTGCTGCTTTGCACAGTGTGATTTGCACTGCTGGCTGCCACCCTCCTCTCCCCAACAGGATCTGCTTCAGAGTTGGGTGAGTCCCCCTGAATCCAGCACACAGCTAGAGCCTTCTCCCTGTTGGCCAAGACAACTCACGTCAGCCATCACTCTGATTCACTATCTCTTTCCTGAATAACTCAAACCCTCCCCCACCCAGTGCCCCCAACATTAAAAAGATGAACTCCTGCCATTAGTATCGCTTCACTTCAACCATGCCTCACAGCAGACCCTCCCATCTGTCCTCTCCCAGAGCAAGTACCTGGTGAGGTGCATAAGATAAACTTCTTTATCCACTGTATTCTGCTCAGCCTCTGCTCCAGGTTTGTCCTCTGTTCCCCCACACTGTGCAAGGTCTTCTGCAACTCCTCCCTCTCTGACTGGCAGGTATGTAGCTGCTCCTTGGTCTCCTGGCAGACCTTCTGCTCCTGCTGGCTCTGGACCAGCTCTTTCTTGGACTCCTGAAGCTGCTTTTCGTTCATCCTCAGCTGTGATATCGTGGAGACCAGCTCCTGCCTCAGGCTGTTGTTAGTGTTTTCCAGAACCTCACTGATCAGCTGGAGCTGCTGAGACACCTGCAGATCTGTTTGGCCATAAAGAGCACTTTGGAGGGCATCAGCTGTGCCCTGCTGTCCTGAGACTTCAAACGTCAGTCACTTGCCTACTTCTTGCTAAACAGGGTGAATTATAATATCTGACTAACACTAAGGATTAAGAAACTACTGGTTAGAGTAGGGTGTGAGTGGGCCATGTCGGCGGGCCATACTCACAGCGCACTCCCAAGCACATGGCAGCCACACCGAACAGCAGGCAGGTGACCAACAGGCCGAGGAAGAAGTACTGGATGTGTGTTGCACAACCTTAGGGAGACAGTGGGATGAGATGCAGGAGCCCCTTATACACCTAAGGGGTGGGTGGGTGGATGAGGAGCCTGTGAGGCTTAGGGCCGGCAAGGAGTTGGTGGGAATTAGGGCGTGGAGGTGGGGGAGGGGGACCCCCGCGGTGTTACTGAGGGTCACCGCGGGTAAAATGCGGAACTAAATTGAACGCGAGACCGGGGAGGGGAGGTATGTGAATGGAACTAGCACTAAGGGTGAGTGGTGGCGGGAGCGGATCTAGGGGTGAAAGAGGCGGGGGTCGCGGCTCGCGGCCGCACGGGGACCTGCGCGGGGGTGGGGACTCACTCCCGGGACCCACCGGCACTTCACTCTCCTCCTCTCCTCCAACCCGCCCCCCCACACACACACACACGCAGCCCAGGGCTCGTCGGGAGCGGGTCCCTCCGCCCGGTCCCGCGACCTGGCCCAGGGGAGTCTGCGAGGTGGGAGCGGGCGGGTGCGGACTCACAGGGGAGCAGCCTCCCGGCAGCTGGTGACTCCACGGAGCTCCTGTACGCCTCTGGCTGCTGGGACGAGACCCCTGCCGAGGGGAGCGCGGCCGGGCGCGAGAAGGTGGGAGCGCAGGGAAAACGCCCCTTGCCCCACGCGCGCCCTCACCGAGACGAGCCCCTGGCCTGTCCTGTGCCCTCCGACGCCCTCGGCGACTGCTCTGGGACACCTTAGCACTTCCCGGAGTTCCTTGTCTCCGCCGGGACGCTCTCGAGTCCCTCCTGGGTCCTCCCTTCCCCTTTGCCCGGGACTTCCTCACAGCTCTCCCGGGTCTCCCTGGGCTAGTCCTCTGGGGCCCCTCGACTGCGTCCCCGAACTCTCCCCGGGGGGTGCTCTCATCCTCTCTCCTACCGTCTCTCCTCTCTCCCGCGGCTCTCCAAGTCCCTTTCAAACTCATCTCCCGGCTAAGCTGCCCTGACTGCTCCTGGAGCCCTCGTCTTCCTACTGGGGCCCCCTTACCTTGGCCCTGGGTATTTTATTTTCCCCTGATTGCCATCTTCCCATTTTCTAATGTCCCAGCTTTCCTACGCATCTCCTTCCTTTCCCCCTTGCTCCCAAGAGTACCTTGCTCCCAAGAATGCTACAACAAGCACCCCCCAGCCACCACCCCGCCCCTGCCGCTGCCCCCAAGACACGCAGAAGTCTCCCCACTCCTTACCTGCTTTGAGCCCTGCCGAGGGTGGGGACACTTGGACGTTCTCATAGGTGATGTCCCCATCCTCATCAGCATCTGGGTCTGGAGAGGAAAGGGAGTGAGGAAAAGGTTCTGGAGGTGAGTGTGGGGTCCTGAGGAGGGTGGGGATACGAAGCCAAGGCGATGCCACCTCTCCCTTTACCTTGTCCTAAGTGGTTGGAGATGTTCTTCAGAGGGGCCTTCACAAACCGCAGGTCTGCATAGGTGATGGCCTCAGCCATAGCCTCTCTGCCCAGGGGGCCCTTGCTACTTCCCTCTGCCCTTCACAAACGGGCTGTGTGTTGTGTCCCCTCCTGACCCTGCCGCTCAGTGCTTTGCTCTGTGGTCTCCAGTCAAAAAGAGGAAGATGTGAGCAAGCGGCGGGCAGATGGATTTAGTGAAGCAGATGATATCCCCGAGCTATGACCAGAGGACAGGGGAGGCTAAACTGTGGTCCAGAGCATGGAGCAGGGCTGGGCATGTCAGGCCCGTCCCCCTGTCCTGCCTGTGTTCCCACTTCATGCACCCTTGTTGCCCTATTGATCAGAACTGTGGCCTTTCATCCCCTCAAAACTCCCCCCACCCCACATCCCATCCTGCTCCCCCAGACTCATACTGTCTGTGTGCTCACATCTGAGTTGGAACCAGCAAGCTGGGTCCAGGTGGCTCAGGGGCTGGGACTTACCCTGCTTGGGATAAGGATTAGGGACAGGGCCTCCCCCACCACCACCCACCACCCTTACCCCCCCCCGCCCCCCCAGCCTAGGGGTAAAGGATGTCTCAGCACTCACTGTCACGGCCCCTCTTGTCTCCCCACTGCCCCCCCTTAGCAGAGTATTTCAGTAAATCTAATGAATCCTCTTATACACCCCTCCCCCACACCTCTGGTCTACTCTCAGTTCTAGGCAAAAATAAATAAATAAATAACATCTGTTTTTTTGTTTGTTTGTTTGTTTTTTTAAAGTGCTGCAGTGTCTGCGACAGAAGAGAGGCGAAGAAGAAAAGCAGGGCTGGGTACTGAGTGCAAAATCTGGACCAACTGATATTTTTGACCTTTGTTTTGTTTTGTTTCTTCTTAAAAAGTCCCAACATTGTCCCTTTACATCCAGCCCAGAGGAACCAGGGGCATTTGTGGAGAAAGACCCAGGTTGAGAGGGTGGAAAGGGTTGGCTCTGCTGAGCACAGGTGCAGATGCTCCCTAACATTCTTTCACCAGGATGTGACAGAACAACAAAAGGGGTTAGAAGAGGCTGGACCTAGACAAGGTTTGGAAGTGGGGAAAACCCAACCATAGAGGGTAGCTCTGCTCCACCTGAGAGCTCCCCGCCACCCCGCAGCTGTGAGAGGAAAAAGGGAGGGAGGGAGGTGGCCACCACATGCTCACAGTTTGTACATGTGATTAGTGGCGTGTGAAGGACACTTTGATGTACCCTATGGGTCCAGCCAGAGCTCTGTCCAATAGGGGCACTCAGCCCACTCCAGAAAAAGTGCCCAATGAGACAAAAGAACACATTTGTACCTGGGGACATGTCTGAAGAAGAGGCAGGTGTGTGTGTGTGTGTGTGTGTGTGTGTGTGTCCAGCACCTGCCACATGTTAGGTGTCTGGGTAAGTGAGCAGTGAGCATCGATGTCAAACCTGCCAAGAGGGCTGAGCAGGAAGGAGTCTGTGGGCTGAACGCTTCTTTTGATTGCTGGTTGGGAATGATGGGTCATTTTCAGATAAATCTTCAAAGGTCACGGGGACACCGTGTACAAACATTTCCTTTCCACGGTGCACTGTTTCCTAAGGTGTCCCTCTGCAGCTGTTAACCGTCCTTGCTTGAGTAAAGTTTCCAAGAACCTGGTCTCCTCCCCCAGTGTGGGCCTCCCCCAGATAACTGATGGTGGTGGGTTGGGGACTCCCTGGGGACCCCAAAAGCCTGTGAGTGGGTGGAAGTGTACCAGACAGCTGCTGGCAGGGGTGGGCGGAGGCAATCTGGGTTCTTGTATCTGTGGTGTACAGGGCTGGGGGCAGTGCATGTGTAAGTCACTCGCAGGAACACTGGTGGGAATTTGATATACAGTAATGTCCCAGTTTTCAGAACCAAAGCACAATGAACATGGCCCAGATACCAGCTAAAATGCAAAAACTGGGCTTCCAGTATGTTCTCAAAAAAATTTTTTTTTTAAAAAAAGAGCATCAGCGCTGCCTAAGTTGCCTAAGTTGGAGAGGCTTTGGAGGGGGGGGAAGGGACCCACACGAGTGATGAGCTACCCTGCAGCCACTGCACCTTGGCTCTCCAAACAGGCCTGATTTCTTCCCTCTTCAGCTCTTTTGGTGATGGTTACACATCTTATGACATTCTCTTTCCCTGCTGTCATCTACCATCGTGGTATGAGTGTGGCTCCCTCTCCTTCCTCATATGGGTCGCATCGGGTCTATGCAATATTGACATCACATTCCTTTTCAAAGCTGGACATCAGAAAGAACAGAAACCCATGTCTCCAAGCTGTGCCTCACCTGCCCCAACGTCAGAAATAGCAGAGGCTTTTAAGAACAGAAGAGCCAGCGCTGCACATGTCAGCTTCTCCAGCAACATGCTAACATCTGGGATCATAAAGGACAAACGCCGAAGCCCATTTCTTGCCCTCTCCTGAGCTCTCCATGAATTATTACAAGGAATGTGTTGTTAATGCAGACAAGAGGAGGGAGCCAGGTGGGAGGGCATCTGGGGAAACTGGTGAAGTCCAGCCAACATCAGCAAGTCTCCTGAGGCTTCGCAAGTCAAATTATATCTGTGTTCCATCTTAGCTCACTGGCTCCTGGAGGCCCTAGTGCGGTAAACAGAATGCGGTCTTTCCCACAGTGTTCACACTCTAATCTCAGGAAGGACCTGTAAATCAACATGCTACTTCACAGGACAAATGTGTGATGAACAACTGGGTCAATGTGGCCCCATGAGTCCTTGAGAGGGAGAAGCTTTCAGAGCCTCTCTGAGGGATTGGATGGTGGAAGAAGGGGCAGAGAGATGTGAATTGAGAAGGCTGAGTTGCCAGCTTTGAGGGTGGAAGAAACGAGCCCTGTGCCAAGAAATTCAGGCCACATCCAGAAGCTGGAAAAGGTGAGGAAACCCTGCCGATACCTTGACATTAGTCCAGCGAGACCTCTTGAGACCTCTGACCAACAGAGCTGAAAAGTGAGAAATTCATACCTTTTAAGACGCTAAGTTTGTGGTTATTTGTTAGAGAAGTAAAAGCAGGATGTGTTGGAAAGAACATGATAGTACTGATATGGAAGCCAGTGCTGCCACAGCAGTGACTGGGTAACTTCCTATCCAAGATATAAGCTGTCTGATATGAATCCAGGGTGTGATTGCTGCAGAGACAGCCGATGTATACTTTAGCGAAGCATCTTTAAAAGTTTGTTGAATAGCTTCAGAGTCAGGAGGAAGAACTCCTGGCTTCCTATGACAAATGTGAAGTAGTTGTTAGTCCAGTGACAGGAATTTGCAGCTCTTTGAAGCCAATAACTGTCCGGAGACTGAGGGCCCTGTGCCCCTCCTTGGCCCTGCCTTGAAGGGTGACACAGATAGCATCTTCCTAGCACTGGTGACACAGCTGATAATTTAGAGAGACCAAAAGGCAAACTCAAGATTTAAACACTGCAGCTGCACAATAGCACAGCTCCACAGAGAAGGTGGCACAAAGAGCAGTGATAAGGGCTAGCAGTTACTGAGAAATGAGATGGGTCAGAAAATAAACTTCCTGAGCACAGGGTGGAGACAGTCCTGACACAACAATAGTTGATGTACAAAAGGTTGAGGGGAAAGACAGCTATCTGACATGTTGGAGCCAGAAGAGACCTTAGTGAGTCCAGCCCGCTTAGTTTACAAATTGGGGGTTGGGCTCAGTAGGCAGTAAGCTCCTATGTCAAACATTATGTCAGTCACCCCTACATCCCTTTGAAGGGGGTCAAACACCTGCTGATGAGGCAGGCTTTGACACCAAAAATGATTTTATGTGATCCCCAACCCCTCTGGCCTCAGCTGACTGAGACAACCAGGTGGGCAACTGACTCAAAGTTGTCCAGTCCAAGGCTGGCAGTGGCCTCCACAGTGGCCTTGCCTGGAAATCAAGGATGGTGTGACGCTTATCAAATGTCCATTCTCAGGAATTTAAATGGGGAGCTAAGGGGAGGCTGCTCAGCAGAGTCCACAGAGCAGTGTCCTCCACCCTGCCTGGCTCCCCCTCTTTGAGGCTCTCAGAGGCAGTGACTTTCCTGGCAGGTAAGGGGCCTGACATTGGCGGGGTGCTGGGGAAGCAGGGGGAAACTGGCCTCATGCCCGCATCCACGGCGCTTCTCCGTGCTCCTTGTCCAGATGGCTATGGTCTCATCACAGGCTGGACAGGGCACAGGAGTCCCTAGGGGTTCAGACTTCTTTCAAAGCCCCATAGACCAGCACCAAACGCTGCTTGAGCGTGAAGGGAGTCTAGACTGGTTGCAAGAAGAGGAAACCGAAGACTTTCCATCATCATAGCCTTAAGATAAACCAGGGTGGTCTTGCACCAGACCTCCCATTTAGCGCAGCCTCAGCGAGCCCCACCAAACCCAGCGTGGACATCGTGGACATCGCTGTCCCAGGGAGCCCTTGCACTGCATCTCCTTGGAGCTGTTTGCAGACAAAGTTTCAAGACAGGAGACTGTGGAGAAAGGATCTGGTTATAAAGTTTCCTGCATTCATAGAATTATTCCAGGATGTATATGTGCCGTGGTGACTTGGACGCCATGACAGTACCTGGCAAGTCCATAGATGGGGAGAAATTTGACTGAGAGTTTCACCCTTAAACTCTCCGCAGGGCCAACTAACTGCCAGACCCAGCACAAATGGCTCCATTTTCATGTATTGCCAAGCTGGAGGGGTTAGATGGGAAGCATGTGGTCTTTGGAGAGGGGAAGGAGAGCGTGATATTGTGCCAGCTTGGAGCTTTGGGTCCAGGAAGGGAAGACCAGCAAGACCACCATTGCTGAGTGTGGGCAAATCTAATAAATTTGACTTGTGTTTTATTAGAAAAAAATTTTTTAAAGGCAACAAACCACAGCAGTGGGGATTGTAGCTTATTCCAACTGATCCTCCTATTACAAACTTCTATTCCTCCACCCCTTTCTCCTTCTCCGGTTTTTGAGATATTGTGACCTTAAAGAAGCATGAAGTGTCACTAGTGGATCTGAGTGCTGCTCTTGCACACTCACTACCTCACCAT